ATCACATTATTTTGACAGAACACGAATACATCATAAGGTTTAATATAATGCTTCAGCTTTGTACAAGCATAATACAAACTCATACATAACTTTTCCAAAGGAGTGTATCTGATTTCTTCCTCGACTAACATCCTACTGATGTAATAAATGGCTCTCTCGATGCCATTTTCGTCATCTTGCGACAACATGCCCGCAATAGTCGAATCATTGGCCGAGACATACAATTTTAGCTTTCCTCCTTCAGAGGGTGGCACCATCACTGGAGGGTTGATCAAATAATTCTTGATCTCCTCGAATGCCTTTTGATGATTTTCGTCCTATCGAAATTCTTCCTCCTTTTTCAATCGTAACAAAGGGGAAAACACCTTAGTCTTTCCTGGTAAATTCGAAATAAATCTTCGAAGGAAATTTATCTTACCTAACAAAGACTGCAACTCCTTCTTATTTGAAGGAGGCTTAGTTTCCATGATGGCTCGAGTCTTGTTCTTATCTATTTCAATGCCTTTCTGGTGTACGACGAACCCTAGGAAATCCCCCGCTGAAACACCGAAAGCACATTTCAATGGATTCATTTTCAGCCCATGTTTCCTCATTCTCTCGAAAGACAATTTCAGGTGTTGTATGTGATCTATTTTTCGTTTCGATCCAATCACTATGTCATCAATATAAACCTGCATGAATTTTTCGATCAAGTCATGAAAAATTAAGTTCATTGCTCTTTGATATGTTGCACCAGCATTTTTCAAGCCAAAAGGCATTACTACCCATTCGTAAGTTCCCAAGGCACCTGGGCACCTAAAGGCAGTTTTCGACACATCATTTTTAGCAATAATCTGGTTGTACCTAGAATATCCATGTAATAAACTTAAAATTTCATTACCTGCGACGGCATCAATCATTGTTTCCGCAATAGGCATGGGATATGCATCCTTAGGCGTGGCTGCATTCAAATCTCGAAAATCGATACATACCCTCATTTTTCCATTCTTTTTTATAACATGCACAATGTTTGATATCCAATCAGCGTACCTCGAAGTACGAATGAATTTGGCCTTCAGTAGCCTCTCGATTTCTTCTTTGATTTTTTCGATCACCTGCGGGGCAAACCTTCAAGGGTTTTATTTTACTAGGTTCTTCCCCAAAATCATAGGAAACCTATGTTCTACCAAATTTTGATCTAAACCAGGCATTTCTTCATAGTCCCAAGCGAAGCAATCTTTATATTCGTGCAGGACCTGCACAATTTGTTATTTAACACTCTTCTCCGCTAGTTTGCTAACATAGGTGATTCTCCTCTTTTCGGTTGTACCCAGATTGACTTCCTCGAGAGGATCCTGAGATTCTAGTTTAAGCCCATCATTTTCCATTTTCTCGAATCCTAGAGGAGCATCGTTAAAGACACAATCAAGTCTTTCTTCGATTCCTTCCGAATCCCTTTTATGCTCATCCTCGAGTCTTACTCTGGGCGACTCTTTCGCAGCTGTTTCGATTACCTATTTTTGGTTTTTTGATTTTTTGTCAGCCCGCAGAGTTGTTATAGTTTTGATATTCATCGAATGCGTGCCCCCTTGGGCTCTTTCGACTTCACTACCTTCCTCGGCCTCATTGGCCATTCTCTCGGCCATGTAGGCCGAAATTCGAGCTAAGAAGCTCGAACAAGGATCTTGTCTCATCATTCTCGCACTTGAGCCGATTCAATTTCGGTTCTGTGGATAAGAAATCCTCTTCGAACATCCCAACAGAAAGTCTTCTTAACACCCTCTTCAGCCTCCAAGACATCTGGGTCTGTGGCATCGAAAGGCTTAGTTCTCGCGAATGCAGTAATTTGTTGATCCACGAAATACATTCCCGTCTCATACTCTTTCTGATCTGCATCCAACACTTCCAATTGTTCGTCATCATTCCAGAAAAATATTTTCTGGTGCACTGTCGAAGGTACTGCTCCTATTCCTATTCCATGGATCCATTCTCTTCCTAATAGCACATTAAAGTTAGCTTTCGAGGGAGTGACAATAAACATGGTGGTCCTTCTCACACTACCAATTTGCACATTTAACAATATCATCCCTTCTGGTTGAGAAGATTTTCCAGCATAATTAGAAATAAGGATATTGTGAGGTTTCAAATCTGCCAAAGTTTTCCCAAAACGTTTCAGCAATGTCTGTGGGAGTATGTTTATAGCAACACCTCCATCCACTAGGACTTTGTTGACTTCAATTCCTTCGATCATAAGGGTCAACAATAAAGGTTTCAGATGGTCCTTCATTTCTGGGGTAGGTGAATCGAACACTGCTGAATTGAACTTTGGAATGACTCGAGATATTTGATTCACCCATACTATTTTTGACTCATAGTTGGGGTCACCGAAAAAATCTTCACGGTGTATGTCTTCCTGTTCATTCACAGATTCCATTGCTTCAGCATATTCGGAAGGTAAGATTGATACCACTCCGCAAATATCTTCGAGAGAGTCCTCGAAACCACTTTCAAAACAATCCGTGATCAAATCTTCCTCATCCTCTGCGAATTTCTTAGATACCCCACTTTCGTAAGGTACAGGAATCGAAAATTGATTACCTTTGTGTCCCTCGAAAGTTGCCTTTCTCATTCTCTGTTGCCTTCTCCATTGAGTCTTGGTAAGGCCATTAAAAGGATATTTAATTCCTCTTCCAGAACCTCCTTGCATGTTTGACCCGAATCGGGGTCCTCTAGAAAATGGGTTTTTCGAGTAGTTCACAATTTGCTTTCCTCGACCCATTCCAACATTGGGCCTTTGTGGAGAAGTCCACTTCCCAATGGGAACATGCGCATTTGGCAGGTATGTATTACCAACTCGGGAGGAGTTGTACATCTCCATATTTCCGATGGGAGCCATATGAGCATTGCCTTGTGGCATGTGAACTTGACGCATCACTATGACAGTGTTCACTTTCGACTTTCCTTGAGCCTTCTTAGCTTTATAATTTTTCATAATTTCATATTCCTCGAAAGC